TTATTTTATTCACTTTTTCGGCTGCCTTTCGGTTCTGTTTTGTTTTGTTTTGTTTGCCCCGCTGATGATTATTAATGGATTTATTTTTGGGCATTTTTAAGTTTGTTTAAGTTCGTTTATCATCACTTCGAGCCAGTAAACTGGATTCACCAAATTTAAAATAAATACTTAATAAGTGGAATTTATTTAAATGGAAAGTGGACAATAAATGCTAAAAAAACTTAAGAATAATATTTAAAAGATTAATAAAATTACAAATTCCTAGAAAGTAAATCTGAAATACGCCAAAATCATCTGAAAAATCTTTTGGATTGGGAAACACGATTCTATAGAAACACATTGTCACCTCGCCCGCCATTTTACGATTTTGCATTTGGTCAACACACAGCATTTACCTCAATCCATTTGCACGCTGTGTTTCCATAGTACTGAATGCTATTTATTATTATTATTTAGCCATCATTTGGCTAGCAGTCAATTGGGCATTTGTTTATAAACAATATGCAGGGCGCCGAGGAAAACATTTTTGATGTAGCTCATAAAAATGGTCAGCGAGACACGAGGAAAAACAGGGAATACCAAAAGAATAATAAACACGAATGGCAAATATTTGTAAGCTTTCATCGGGAAAAATTTGTGGGCGGGCCAGAAAACAAAAGGTGTTGACGACGAAGGCAAACAGAATTAAAAATCGTGTATTTTTAGCGCCAGTTAAACAGGGGCAATATTCGCCGGGTAATAACGCATACGCACTGTTGGTTATTGGCTATTTTTTATAAAGTTTGCAAAGCTGGAAATGAAATCGAATGAAAGAAGATAATTCTGTAACAATTAATAAGCGACTTGGGCCACCGTTTTTATCACTTTGTGATAATAATTACCTGCTTCACCCCTGTTTACTTAATTATGCGCAAGAGATTATAATGGAATTAATTACGTATACGCACAGGTGAACACGGCACAAGGCACGATGGGCACTTAATTAGTGTGCGTGTGTCTGGCTGTTTGCTTCTGTTTAAATGTCTGACGGCTTCGGCAAACATTTTTCTACACTCATTGCTTATTCTGTGTTTGTTTGCCTCTTTTTTTGTGTACAGTATTCTTGCTTTTTTGCAGAGAACAATAGATACTCTGATATCGGCATGTGATTTATTGAACACAGATGGTAATTTCAAGATCAAACATGTGTTTTAAATAGTATCCTTCAATTTAATTAGGGCTTTAAAAAAAATATTGTGTAAAAGTCAGAAATATAGAACATTTATTGCCATGAAAAATAATTTATATTATACAACGCGGAATGGTGTGAAATATAGAGTCTATTGAAGAACATTTTAGTTTTGGGAAAAGTCTAAAGAATTTTAATATAGATCATGGCAAATTGTAAGTGGTCGTTAACTATTTTATCACAGAATCACCAGATCAAAGAAACTGAACACAATTTATTAAAGAAATCAAGAATAGCAAAGCTCTTTATTTGCAAAAGAATATATTCGGACTTGTAATTTGGTTTCTTGGTTATTCAAAACGATTGCCGAATGTCAGGGGTAAACGCTCAAAGTTTTCATATTTTTGCCAGCGTGACATTTGAATTTGCATAATTAATCAATTAATGCTGAGATTTTAGAGCCTCCCGTTCGGCGAAGTTGAAATCGTTTGGCGTCACGTGCATAAATTTTGCTCATGCGATTTGCGCTCGTTTCATTTTCATTTTCATTTCTGAATACATTTTTAAGCCGTGCACGTGCCTCGACATGACTATGCCCGATATATCCGATCTGCATGTCCATATGCAGTGCATATATATGGCGGACATACGTGGACATCGATTGCTATATGGTATGTGTATGCTGTTCACAAAATTGAAAGCGGGAAGGCGGAGGTTAAATTTAAGTTGATAGGCGCTTTGTTTGCCCAGCGACATGGACATGTCAATTATTTAATGCTTAACGTTTAGTGCCTTATTGCATTTCAATTTTTCATTTTGCCATTTGACTCGATGCGTTTTTATCGCCGGCCATTCGAAATTCACGCAAATTACGTGACAGGCATTCCCAAACAGACACTTGCTATTAAATTGGGTCCAAATGTCTAAAATAGCGATGCAAACTGATATGGATTTGTAAATTGTTCATAGCTAATGTTTAAATATTGGGAATTAAATAATAAACTTCGGACGAGGACGAGATCATTAAATGATTAATTTGTTTATAATCAATTTTTAACGATTATCGAAAAAGAATACCCATCAAATTAATGGCCAATCAATTCGGAACTGGACTCAAAATAAATTTAAAAAGAAACTGCCGTTTTTATGTATTTACTTTTTTATTGATCCAATTTAATGGCTTTGTTGGCCTGCCTTCTTCACAAGTTTTATTAAATGCGTAGATCATTTTTATAAAGAAGGGAACTAAGCTATAATACTATAGATGTTTGTATTACGGATTACCTGTAGAACATTTTCTTTGGCTGACTCATTTTCTGGCCCACAAAGACTTTTCCCGCCGTTCCAATTTCTATTTGGGGTTAAGAGATGTAGCAATGCGACATTGGGCTGTCAGGGGTTTTAGTACTTCCTCTCGGTTTTCGGTTTTCGGTTTTCGGTTGTTTACTTTGGTTGAGGGGTTCGTCATTAGACGGCTGCCTAATGGACATGGCTTTTCCGCTTTCCCAAAAAAATGAAACCCCTTCTCTCTTTTCGCCGCCATTTTCCAAATATTGCTCAGCTTTCCTGTCATGTTTCACCTGCCAGTTGAATGCATTTGATTTGATATTTTCTGTCATCTGTGCGTCGTCGTTTGCTGCTCTTCATTTTTGTTTTTCACTCCTTTGTTGTTCTTGGAATCATCATTAGTTTGCCTCCGACTTTGTATATCTGTATCTTTTTGTCACGTTCGCCGCTCGATTTTCGTGATTTGGTTTTCATTTCTTGGGCTTTGCCGGCTTTGTTTTTTCGGCTTCTTGTTGCTATACACATCTATTTTTGGTAGAAGCACAACAAAATTAAACAAATAATGTTGTCATTCTCTCAATTGCATGTGATCTTTTCCCCCATTTCGGTTCGGTTCATCCTAAAATTAAATCCACTTTTTATGGTATTATTCACATGTGGCACAAATGTTTTTCCTCCTCGGTAATTTGTCTTAAAAAACACATTTTGTTGAGAAAACTTTTCTATTCACCTTTGCTTGAAATGTAAAATGTAATCACTATTAAAAGTTGTTGTGTTTGAAATCAATGAGAGATGCAATGTTTATAGATTTTGCAGGCTAACTTCCAATCAAAAATCCATCAAAAGTTAATGGCCACACCGGCGATTTTCAGCACATTTTCGTTTTATATTTACAAGGGGATCGACCTCCAAACAAAAAGGCTGGCGCAAAAACTATTAATTTGCGGTTGAAATGTTTCGGCATCCAGCAAATACATTGAGTATTTTATCTTACAATTTTTGTTGCCCAGTCCGCTGGCAATTCAATTTAAATTTTGTGCCCGCCTCATTTGATTTAAATGTACACTTGGCCGGGGAATGTAAATGCATTTCCACTTGACTTCTGAGATCTTATCTCCGTATGCTCGATACCAGCTGCATTCTTGGCCGAGAATTTTAATGGGTTAAAGGGGATCCAAAGTGGGGGGCTCAAAGCGGCATCGAGAATCGAGACGAATTCAGAGGAAAAATATTTAGATGGCCTGGCATTTGGTGACGTGCGGCGATCGCGTCCAACAAAAACAGAAATAAATAAATATAAATGTTGCGCACAAAGATCTATTTTAACCCAAGGTCGCGTCATCAGTTTCTTCTTTGACTCACTTTTTTTTCTCATCGCCGAAGAGGGCAGATAGGAAATCGTGCCGAATAAGATGAGCAAAAAAATAAAAGAAATATGGGAAAAGCAGTAGCAGGTAAACATTGCGAAGATCAGGACAAAAGAATTCTAATTAGAAAAGTGGAGGTGCACAGAATGACTTGTCAATGGTCAATGACTAAATTGTATTCTTCACATTCACTTAGTTTTTTTTATAAAGTTCCTAACTATTCACAGGCTCCCCAACAGGTTCATTTTAATTTAATGGTTTCATTTAATTACCTATTAAAGATCTAAGAAAAAACACAGAACGATCCACACAACGTTAGAGAAATGCTCATTACACCGAATTCGAAACTCGCATAAATCACCATTAGCAACAGGGCACCTTGATCTACATTCCAAGATCAAGCCGAACCAGTTTGTTCTTCCGATTCTCTGAAAGAAGCAAATAGGAATAAGGAAAGAGACGGCCCAGCGTTAGATTGTTCAATTATTCAATTGGGGACTTCGAGACGGCGGCAAACAATTTTGATTATATTTATTAGATGCCGGATTAGCTGGGCTGGCTCTTGCGGCAATTGCGTTGAGTATACGCCATGTTTGCACCCAAAAGCAGTTTAATTTGTTCACATCACATCACATCACATGTGTTTAGCATTATTTCAGCTGGAGCCGGTCGAATTGAAATAAAAATGTCTTGTGGCGGAATTTAAATTGAAATGGATATTTTGATCGGCTTTGTGTGTGGGGAGGGTAGTGCCATCGCATCTCCCCAATTCTGTTCACCTTACCCACCCAGTTCTTCTCGCCCGCCGACTATGCTAATGTAGCGGAAATACTGAGCAAATACACTGAGCCACTCGACTTGGCCCTGGATCATACTATATACCTGTATATACCATAGATGTGTGCGGATGTTTCCGAGATGCTTCTGAATGATCTCTCGAAAATACTGCTCAAGTGTGTCACTTGAAGAGCGGGCAAAACAATTCAATTAATTTGAGTATATTTGATCAGCTCTCGTCTCGATTCTCGATTCTCGAGAGGTATTCAAAAATATTTTGCGAAAAATTCAACCAAATTAGGATCACGAAAAGATGATTTTGAAGTAAAATAAAAAAGGATAGCATATTTTGTAAGTACTTATATTTAACAACAAGATTTTTAATAAAATTATATTTATACCTGCAGTAATCGAGTTGTGCTTTAATGTTTTGATAATTTTTATTTTTCCGCCGACCTTTTTTTGCTAATAATTATATGTTGGTCATGCCAGCGAATCCAGAGGTGCTTTCGTGTTTTTGGTCATTGAGTATTAATTTATTTGTTTCAACATTTTCACATATTTATCTTCGTCATATTAAACCGTTTCCCATGTTTTTGCAGTTCACTTCTATCACATTTGTCAACATAAAAAAATAAAATAGAAAGATATTATGAACTATTTTTGTGCCGCGAACGAGAAAGCGTGTGTTTTAAAAATAAATTAAACAACTTAAAAAGAAGCGCGAACACTTTTTCGTGTGCTAAGTATGAAAACAGCAGGAATCCAAACAAAAGTCTACAAAACACAAGAACAAAAAACTTAAAAGCACGAGGGAAAAATCCAAATGAAAACTATTTGACACTTGCCGCTGGGCCTTTCTAGTTTTTCACAAATCAACCATTTGAAATTATGGAAAGACGAAAAAGGAGGCAATAAAATCATCAAATTTGATATGCAAAATATTTGCATCTAAATAATGGTTTTAAATCACTTTAAACCGATCAAATGTGCAGTCATCGGAATCAGCAGATATTATGATACAAACGGTATTCATTATTTTATTTGATTGTGTTATTTGAGTTGACGTTTATTCCAGTTAATTTGAATTGCTTTTTTGTCCCCGCGATTTGACATGGCGTTTTAATAAACGTTTGCTATTCGTTTTCGGTGTCGCTCGAAAATGCCGCTTAAATTTCACTAATTAATTGATTTAAACCACTTTAATGTGAAATGATTAGCTTTAATTAGTTATTTTAATTGTTTTAGCCGGCCCATTTTACTGCCTTTGCATTTATTTATTTTATTAGCAGTACAATTTGCTTTTAATGCTCCTTACTTTGTTTTATTACCTATATTTATAAATATTTCACACACTCGACAACAAATTTTCCACTTGACACTAAACAAAAACAATAAAATAATATATTTTAATTGCTATTATCACACACACAACCGAAAGTGGAAGAGAAGAAAACGAAAGCGACAGGAAAACCTGAAGATCGGATCAAATCGGACCGGCGAAGATCAACGCCAGAGCATCGCGAGGCGACTGAATTCCCGATCGGCTATATCGTCTATATGGCCAGATGTCGGACAGGTGTGCGAGCGAGAGAGAGAAAGAGAGGGCGGGCGACCAGCACTGCGCGTGGATCTCATATCTCATCTCAACCCAGAAAATAAGAAAACCTCGTCGTTCTGCCAGCGAAACAGCCGCCAGTTAAGCGAATGATAGATGTTCGGATCTCCTTAGATCCGCTCGATTAACACAGCTGAAGAAAAGAGCGAGCTGTGGGAGAATTTCCGAGATCTTACAGGTGTCCGTAAAAGCCTTTCTCGGATGTCCCCGAGAATAACCCAAGCGTTACAGTGTAGGTACACAACCTTCAATAAATTATTCCGCGTAATAAGGTTACATATTTAATAGTAAATAGTTAACACTTTAAAATGATTGTTTAATATTTTCCCTCATTTTAACAAATATATTTTGGCAAATTTTTCACTGTAACTGTCTTCAACTGTAATTTAAATAGTGATGTTTCCATGCTGTAGGTTTGGAAATCAGCTAAACCATTTTGGCCAAGCTTTCAATTGGGTGGGAAACTCCGGTAAAGGGGTAAGCTGCGGACACTACTTCTTGGGAGCCGGTGGCGCTTTGGCGGCTGGATCCTTGGCCGGTGGAGCTTTGGCGGGTGGAGCCTTGGCGGGCGGAGCCTTGGCGGGTGGTGCAGCTGCAGCGGATGGTGCAGCTGCAGCGGGTGGTGCAGCTGATGCGGGCGGTTTTGGGGCCTCAGCGGAAGGCGGCTTGGCCTGGCCCTCCCCTCCCTTGGGAGCTTTGGAGTCCTTCGCATCCTTGGGACCCTTGGAGTCTTTAGCATCCTTAGGAGCATTTGCTTCCTTAGAAGACTTCGCATCCTTGGGGTCTTTGGGTGCCTTGCCATCCTTGCCCTCCTCCTTGCCAGCGCTTCCCTTGGCACCCTTTTTACCTTTTTTCCCCTCATCCTCAGGCACGTCATTGATCTCACTGGCCGGCGTCTTTTTTGGCTTGCCGAAGCACACTTCCGACAACCTGATGTGCTCCAGATTGAATCCAGACACACCACGGATCTTGCCGTCCACGTTCTTGGCATAAATGTCCGTGTTCAGCTCGTGCAGATCCACCTCCTTGTCGGCGGCCGCCTTCTTGCACTCGGCGTCGACGTGCTTCTTGGTCTTCTCCTCCAGTTCCTTCAGCTCCTCCTCGTCGGCCAAGCAGAGTTCGAGTATTTGGCTGCGGAAGCTGGCGATCGGATCGCGTTTATCTCGGATCGACTGCACCTCGTCCCTTGTGCGATACGAAGTCCCAGGATCGGACATGGAGTGACCCACATACCGATACGTGCTCATCTCGAGCACGATGGGTCCCTCGTTGAGGGCATAATCCACCGCGAACTGGGTGGCGCTGCGCACGGCCAGAACCTGGTTGCCATCCACCCAGAGACCGGGGATGTACTGACCCCGCATGTAGAACTCGGTCATGGCCGAGGCCCGCTTCGCGTGGGTGCCCATCCCATAGTGATTGTTCTCGCAGACGAAGATGCAGGGCAGGCACCAGAGCTTGGCCATGTTGTAGGACTCGAAGACCTGGCCCTGGTTGGCGGCACCATCGCCGTAGAGGACGACGCAGACGCCGCCATCACAGCGGTAGGCGTGGGCCAAGGCGACACCGGTGCCCACTGGCACCTGGGCACCCACAATTCCGTTGCCGCCGTAGAAGTTCTCGCCATACATGTGCATGGAGCCACCTTTTCCCCGGCTGCATCCAGTCCGAACGCCCAGTAACTCCGCCATGATCTCGTACATGGAGACGCCCATTAGGTAGGTCCAGGCATGACATCGGTAGGCGGTGATCACCGAATCGCACGGCCGCAACTGCTGCTTCATCCCAATGGCCACCGCCTCCTGGCCGCTGTACAGGTGACAGAAGCCACGGATCTGACGCTGCTTGTAGAAATTGCCCGCCACCGTTTCGAACCGGCGCATCTCCAGCATCTTCGTGTACATCGAGAGGGCGTCGCAGCGGGACAGCTCCACGTCCATCGTGGGCCCCGTCTCCAAATCGTAGCACTTGAACGTCTGCAACGGGAATGGCATATTCGTTGAAGTAACCCATTTAAAGTTAGTCTGGGGTTAGTGGAGTGTCCACTATCGAAGGGCGAAGGTAAAGGTTGGTTGTTATGTTTTTGAGTTAGCAGTATGTGTTTGTCGAAATTGTGTGGATCTGTGTGGAGTCTGGGAGAAACCGATAAGGCAGTCTAATAAAGTTAACTGAATGATTCTCAACAGCCTTCTTTTCTAAGAAAACAAAAAAAACTATGTACATATGTACATATATGATGAATAGGAACTATTCTAATTTAAATGAATACAATTCTTCATTGTTAATAAAATTGCCTGAAACTAGATGACTGATTGATTAGATACTTGATCTACTTAACTTAATTATTTAAATGCTCTTATTTGTTTTCTTTAATAGCATACAAGTAACTCACATTCTCGAGTGTCAGGCAGCTACACTTGTGACGTTCCACGATCCTGGACGTAGTATTCCCTTTAAGGATGGAGCGAGATGCGCTGCATTTCACCAGCGAACGGAATCGACTGGGCTTCATCATTTTACCCCAACTACGCGGAGCACCCGGGCTTCAAGGCAAATGCTCTTGAATTTAAATTTAAAATTTTGCTTAAAAACAAGAAACGCTGAACAAACTGACATTTGCTAATCAAAAAAAAATCAACGAAAGTGAAGGCTAATCAAAAGCGAGTGAGATGGCAGTATCAGGAAATAAACAGAGATGGAAACAGAAAGGTTGGTCACTAATTCCACTACAGGAGTTATTGTTAAAAAAGATAATACCTATTCATCTATCTTATTAAATAAACTTATTTGTATAAATTCCATTTAGGGCTTGCTAGAAAGTTACAACTACATTTGGGTTAATTTTTCTAGGTATGTATATTTTCAACAATTTACACCTCGCTTTATCCTTACTGAACACGTTCGCAATATAATATCCAATGCAGTTCCCCAGAGTAATGTGGTGCGCTACGATGTGGTTGGAGTGCTCCGATTAGCTAAGCTTGTTTGTGGGTCCTTCGGGGATCCGGTCTACGGGGTTCTCATCATTCAACATTCGGCTTAAGATCTAGAGATTTCGCTTGCGTCTAAGTGTCTGAGTTGTGTGTCTTTCTGGTCTGTCTGTCTGTATGTTCTTCTGTTTGTTGTCTGTTTGCTGTCGTCTGCTGACTTTTGTTTCTTTCTTCGATTTTGTATCCTGTGAGTTCCCGAATTCGAAGATTCGTTGGCCCGGTGACTTAGTGATTGACGCCCTTGCGTTCCTGGATGTGATCGATATCGTAGGCGATGGTGCCGCGCAGCTTGGGCTCCAAGTTGTTGGAGTAGACGTCCGTCCAGAGGTGGCTCACGCCCAGCTCGGCATCGGACTTGGCGAAGGCGGTGGCCTCGTCGACCTCCTTGCGCACCTTTAGATCAATGGCCTGCAAAATGGACACTCCTGTTAGCAAATATCGCAAATATAAAGTGGGTAGGAACGAACACTTCGGGATTTGGTACAATTTTCTCCTAAGTTCAGTGTACTTTAGTCCCCAAAATCCCAACCAAACGCACCTTGACTTCATCGGTGGTCATCAGACCCAGTTCGATGCACAGCTCCTTGAAGGAGGTGATGGGGTCGCGCTTCTGGCGCACCTCCTGGATCTCCTCGCGCGTGCGGTACGAGGTGCCCGGATCAGACATCGAGTGGCCGGAGTAACGGTACGTGTTCGTCTCCAGCACCAGCGGTCCGTGGGTGTTCACATAGTTGATGGCGAACTCGGTGGCACTGCGCACGGCCAGCACGTCCATGCCGTCCACCCAGATGCCGGGCAGGGCATCACCGCGCGTGTAGTAGTCCGTGTTGCAGGACGCACGCTCCGAGCTGGTTCCCATTCCTTTGAGGGAATTAAATGATAGAACATAAGTATAATACAGGTAATATAGTTTACAAGCTCCACACGTGGGAGTTATAATCACCGTAGTTGTTGTTCTCGCAGACAAAGATCACGGGCAGCTTCCACAGGTAGGCCATGTTGTAGGCCTCGAACACCTGTCCCTGGTTGGCAGCGCCATCTCCGTAGAGAGCCAGGCACATGCCGCCGTTGCCCTTGTACTTGCAGGCCAGACCGACGCCGGCACCCAGGGGTACCTGGGCACCCACGATGCCATTACCGCCGTAGAAGTTCGGGGCGTACATGTGCATGGAGCCACCCTTGCCGCGCGCACAGCCGCCCTGGACGCCCGTGAGTTCCGCGAGGACACCACTGGGTGAGACGCCCATCAGGTAGGTCCATCCGTGGACACGGTACGCCGATATGATGTTGTCCACATCCCGCATCGCCGCCTTCATGCCAACGGCGCAGGCCTCCTGGCCGGAGTACAAATGACAGAAGCCACGGATGATCTTCTCCTTGTACAGATTGCCGGCAGCGGTTTCCAGCCGACGGATCGTCTGCATCTGTGTGTAGTACTTGAGAGCCTGATCCTTGGTCAGCTTGACTTCCGTGGCGGGTCCTTCATCCAGGCGGTGCAGCTTGAAGGGCTGCAAGATTATAAAAATATGTTTAAATAAGGTGTATCTTTAACTGCGAAATGAATATGTATGTCTTCTAATATAAATTTTTTTGCTCGGAAATTAAAAAACAATTTGTACAGACTTTTGTACATATTTCAACATGTGCACGTAAAATGTAATTTAACAGCTGACTTACAGCTGATAACAAAAAAGTGGAAGCTACAGAAACATAATTTGATAACGGCAGATACGTTTAGGAATTATAATTTTTAGACATTAGAAATGTTAGAAAATCTATTTCCTAAACCAAATACCAACTCTTTCGGAAGTAGCCTAGATTGTTTAGGCCAATATTGTTTTATGGCACTAGATGTCGGCCAATTTATGGCGTGAGAATTAACGTAAACAGAGAGACAGAGAGAGGGCGAAAATCGGTGATCGCTGATAAGGCTATATGTTTTATAGTGCGTGAACAGTCACGCGGCGGCCACGCAAAAGGCAGACGCCGATAAAGAGCGTGGGAGACGGGCAACTACAAATAAAAATTACTTCGTGACCTTGTCATTTGAAAAGTAACTTGACCGGCAAAATAAAAACACGCAAATGCAACCCTGTGCATGTTTCAAATCACACACACTCACTATTGAAACCTATTAACCGCCGCTATCTGGCAGAAAGCGCATTATGTAATACTACTTTTTTCTCTTTTCTTGCTTCCATTAGATATAGTAACATACAGATATGTTACAGTTCTTACCCGATTCACTGAAATCGTGGCCTCCGTGGCATAATTGTTGGTTTTTGATACACCTGCCTGGGCTGCATTCTGGAATAAACCGAAAAACGACGATGAATATCTCCCATTCCAGATGATGTTGTTGTTGCTGCTTTTGTTGTTGTTGACGTTATATATCCAACCGCTGACGTTGTTGGTTTGGCAACGCTTTTAGTGTTGTTGTATGTTTTTAATGGGGGTTTAGTGATAACAATTAAAAATGTTAGTGGGTGCAAGTCGGGATTACGTACTTTTTGCAGTTGCTTAACAATAATGGGCAATTCGCTAACGCGTGACAGAGTACGCAACATTTTCGCTGTGTTATTCTCGTTCGACTGACTAAAATCGGTGAATGGGGATTTCTATATCTGCGGACAATCCGGGATGTAGTCGTACGCTATATCTGGTGTCTCCGTCGCACCGCCGCGCGTCGTTGTAAGTTAAACAATCGCAAAAAAAAGGTAGCGAGATTAGTTTATCAACCTTCTATATTGCACAACTATTCCAACCGTTTAGCGGTGTGGCGAAAAATACCACAGCCGCCGATTAATGTGGCCATGCTGAAAATACTAGAACTTTCACCCTATAACTTTTCTGTTGTCTTCTAATTGGATTATAATTTTACTGAATTTGAAAACATTTATTTTATAAATGGTAATAAGTTGAAATAGTTTTCGTTAGTTCAAAATACTTACTGACTATATTAAAAACCGTTACCCGCCAAAAAAAATAAATACCACACTCCTTGTTTTCAAAGAAGTACTTTTTATTTCACATTGAAGATCTCATTTGGTTTTTGCATGCTTTCTCATTTTCTTACTCGTATTGTTACTTGAAATTACCTCCATAAATCCACATTTGCGTTTGCAAATGCATTCGCAAGTTCTGCTTTAACGTACCAACTCTCATAATTTACTAATCTCTTACAAAAACTTAAGTAATGGTTGTTTATTGCACAAAAAACCAGTTAAATAGAAGTAGACAAAGTAGAGTTAAACTGATTATTTGAAACAAAAGGTTTACAACTAAGTTTTAAACTAATAATTAATATTGGTTTTTTCGGTTTGGTTATTTTTTATCAGAAATGGCAGCTAAAATATTTGAGTTTCAAAAGTTTCTACCGGAAAATGAAGAAATGGATCGATCGATTTTAAAGAACTTAGGGGAAAAAATTATTTGTTCACTTTCCTTATCTCTCTTTTGCTCTTATACCGTTACACATATTAATTTTTTCGAGTTTTCTGGTTTCTGTTACATCAAAAATTGGTTTCTCACACAGATATTTTGCATTATGACAAAAAATTATGCTGTTTTATCTTTTTCTTTTATATGTATACATATATATATATATATTTGTATATATAAACACTTATTAGAAGTTCTCGTGTTTTTTGTGTTTTCTTTCCAGTTAGAAATTCGCCACTCCGATTTTAAAGAAAAAAAATTTCGTTTTTCCCGTCTTCTTCTTTTTGTTAGTGTGTGTGGGAGGAGTGTTGATGTGTGTGTGTGTATGTGAGAGAGAGGAGGTCGTATCTTACCGTTAGCATAAATAGTTTTGTGTCTACGCAAAAACGTGCTGAGCAATAATTCTAAAACGCAATAGCCAAAGAGAGAGAGGTGCTGTATGTGTGTGTGAAAAGTAACGGTAAATGTACGAACGTGTCCTTTTGTTTGCGTGTGTGTGTATGTGTGAATTCTGCATATGGTGATGACTTTTGTTGTTGTTGTAAGGAAATTACGTATTAAGCTTCATTTTTTGGTTTTAGTAGGTTTTACTTAAGTTCTTGCTTAATTTACACCAATGTTTTACTTTATTTTTGTATTTCTTGCATGAATATATATAATTACTTTTTTGCATTGTTTCTTTGCATCTCTTACTGTTCGCTTTCATTCCGTTAAATTTTCTTTTAGATTCTTACTGCTTTTCATTTCAAAACATAAATCCGATTTAAAGAAACACATTGCACACATTTATATAAACGACAAGAAGATAATTATATTTTCTTAGGTTCTTGTTCTTGTTTTTTTTGCGTTTGGTTTCGGTTTTCTCCGTTTTTTGCTTTTATTTGCTTTATTACTGCTTGTAGTTCCTACAAAAAATTTTTGTTGCATACTTCGCTGCTGTGGATGGACAATACATATACACATACACACATATTCTATTTGCTTGTAATTTGTTGTTGTAAATGTTGTGTCTTCTTGTTTTAAATTGTTCTCAATTTTTTTTGGATAGCAATCCTTGCGAAAACCAGGAAAAGGATTTAGCTAGGGAAGAAGGGGTAGATAGGGGTAAATAGTCCTGGTTGGGGTGGGAAAATCCATGTCCAAGCACACACCGATTTGGTTTCCTCGTAAGCAATGAATAATACATTGCTTAAGTACACATAGAGAAAAAGGACAATATACTATCATACCGAATTGTAAAGCTTTAAAGTACTTTATCAAATTTTGTGATTTAAAATTAACATCTCAAAAGTAGTTCATTATCTTAAATTACCACCTCTATTTAGTAAATCTTTCAATTTTGCCTAGAATAATTTGTGGTATTTAAACATTTCCTAATATAATAGAAATCATATTTTATTGGGAAAAATACTAAAGTAATTGTAATTCACTGAAGAATGACAGTTCGAGATGTTAAAAAAGCAATTTTAAGGGAATGCCAAATTCATTATATTTTTCTCAGTGTATATATTAGGTGTGCAGAAGTGTCTGTGAGAGTGTGTGTATGCAAATTTCACATAATACTATTTTTTTTCTTAGATTTTTCTGCTTGGTTTCCGTTTACACGTGTTGAGAAGAGTTCAATACACATAAATAATCCATCCGACAGAAAAATATGTGAATTTTCCTTACAATTTTTTTTATTCTCTTTTTTATTTTACTTTGCTCGTTCGGTTGTAGTGGTGGTTGTTGCCTGTGCTATGTGTACGTGTGTCTGTGTGAGTGTGTGTGTGGTCCTTGCCTCTGTTAAGCTCCAACGGATTTCAAATGAAAACAGGAAAACAATAATGCAAATAAAAACAACACTTGGGTTTTGGTTCATTTCTAGTTAACAATTGTTTAATTACGCATTTGCAGGTTCCATAAAGTAAATTATAAGGCCAAACAAAGCGCCAGCACATCATACATTATTAGCCAAAGAAAAAAATAAGATAATCGAACAGAAGTGAGAATCATGGGGCGACGAATGCAATCCAAATCACCAATTGTTCTTAAATGAATGTGTCCACTAACAAATCGATACTATTGATGGGGAAATGATGATTTCAAAACCTAATAGCGTTGGGTTCATGCTTGTATACACGGGTGTGTTTGTAACTTTTTTCATCTGTCCCGCGGTCGTTATGTATATTGTGTGTACTAGTAGCGCTTTTATTGTGTATTCGCTTAATTTGCTTCTCTCGAAATTACTGCAGCTTGATATATAATGTAAGGAATACCCCCAAGAAACAGGTATTCTTTGCATACGATAGACATGCTAAACACGGTGCGTATGTAATCTGTTCAATGGGAAGGAGGATCCTCTATGGAAAGCAGGCGACACCTTTATCTAGTTAGGGGGAGGACGGAGGCTCTACAGCGGGAGGATGCTGCTCCACCTCCTCTTCCTCCTCCTCCTGGCTTTCTTCCAGTTCGGCCCGGCGACAACTACTGCAGCTGGTGGCATCGCTGTCTTCCACAATAGTACCATCCTCATCCTCGTCATCATCATCGTCGTCTGCGTCATCGTCGTCGTCTCCATCACGCTGGTCGTTATCTTCCTCGCCTTCCTGGTCACTCTCCTCATTAGTTTCGGTGTCCCCTGCCTCCTGATCATCAGATAGTTCCATATCCGAATCCTCCGTGCGTTCTTGTTGATGTTGTTGTTGTTGTTGTTGGGTTTCATCGGCTGCTGCTGGGTGCTGCTGGTGCTTATCCTCGTCCTGCTTATCGGTCATCATTTCCGCATCCTTGAGATGTTGTTCGTGTTGCTGCTGTTCTTGGTGCTGTGTTTGCTGTTGCTGTTGTTTATGTGGTTGTTGCTGTTTCTGCTCTAGATCCTCGTCCTCTGATGCCCCGAAATGCGGCTGCTGCCCCTGTTGTTGTTGCTGTTGTTGTTGTTGGCGGTGCAGCTGCTGCATCTCCATCAGCCTCCTCACCACCACTTCATCCGACTCGACAATACTTTAACCGCTCTTAAACAATAAAATGGCCACCTGGCCCAAATAGAAATAGATGAAATGGCGCGTCTCGTGGGTGACGTACGATCCAAAGTTGCGGCCCACAATGCAATGCCATGTGGGGTTGTATTTTTTGTCGAACTCCTTCTTGATGTAGGCCGCAATATCCTGGAATAAAATTAGGAAACAAAGTGTTTTTAATACAAGTCTTGTCGAAATGATAGATTTTACTTAAACTGCACTCCTGATAAACTCCATTATATAAATATAATATATGACATTCATGTTCCTTTCAAGTCGTGTAACTCCATTTTAATTGATTGAATTATTGAAAGTTTAACTTGCACTTCCTCCGAAGCCGAAATAAATTGAAAACAAAAACTTTCCCATCTTATAATCTAATATTGATGACTTTTTGCCGCTTGGTTGTAATTCAATTTCGCAAAGTAACAGGTCGGATGAAAAGTCCCCGGTCTGACCCATACTAGATTTTACTAGATTTTTTTCCATATGATTTTCATTCAGTACCAACCTTCAAACGATTAGTGTCAAAATTTGACAGCAATCGGACAATTAGTTCGGGAGTTATATCGATTTGAGTGAAGCTACTTTTGTTATTGTTGAAAAGATGGAAAAAAAGAATTTCGTGTGTTAATAAAGTATTGCTTTTTGAAAGGAAAAAATACAGTTGAAGCCAAAGTGTGGCTTGATAAAGAGTTTCCGGGGTCTGCACCAGGAAAATCAACCATCATTGATTGGTATGCTAAGTTTAAACGTGGTGAAATGAGCACTGAAGACGGTGAACGCAGTGGACGCCCAAAAGAGGCTGTTACCGACGAAAACATCAAAAAAATCCATAGAATGATTTTGAATGACCGTAAAATGAAGTTGAGCGAGATAGCAGACATTGTAAAGATATCAAAGGAACGTGTACATCATATCATTCGCGAATATTTGGGCATGCGAAAGCTCTGTGCGAAGTGGGTGCCGCGCGAGCTCACAATCGATCAAAAACAACAACGAGTTGATGATTCGGAGCAGTGTTTGGAGATGTTTAAGCGCAATAAAGCCGAATTTTTCCGTCGATATGTGACAATGGATGAAACATGGCTCCATCACTACACTCCAGAGTCCAATCGTCAATCATCTGAATGGACAGCAAGCGACGAACCCAATCCAAAGCGTGGAAAAACGCAACAGTCGGCTGGAAAGGTTATGGCGTCTGTTTTTTGGGATGCGCATGGAATAATATTCATCGACTATCTCCAGAAGGGACAGACAATCAACAGCGACTATTACATTGCTTTATTGGAGCGGTTGAAAGCCGAAATCGCAAAGAAACGGCCGCATTTGAAGAGGAAAAAAGTGCTGTTCCACCAAGACAATGCACCATGTCACAAGTCTGGAAAAACGATGGCTAAAATTTATGAATTGGGCTACGAATTGCTTCCTCATCCACCGTATTCTCCAGATCTGGCCCCCAGCGACTATTTCCTGTTTGCGGACCTTAAAAGAATGCTCGCTGGCAAGAAATTTAAGACCGATGATGAAGTGATTGCTGAAACTGAGGCCTATTTTGAGGATAAACCGAAAGAGTACTACAAAAGTGGCATCGAAAAGTTGGAAAATCGCTATAATCGCTGCATCGCCCTCGAAGGCAACTATGTTGAATAATAAAATTGAATTTTGCAAAAAAAAAATTTTTTACTATGGTAAACCGGGGACTTTTCATCCGGCCTGTTATATTACACATCTCCGCCGTGCAGCTGCCAATTGTCGAACAAGTTAACGCCACATTCCATAAAGCTGTCAAAAATGCACAATGGCAAGAAGAGAAAAAACTAAAACCGAGCAGAAAAAAAGCCCATAAGCGAGTCAAATCAGGCGAAAACAAATGCCTAAGTGGCTGCTAACTGTTTCGAAATTAGCGGCAACCGGCAAACTCAATAAAATGCCAAACGAAAAACTCATTTTCCACCAGTCCTCCCCTCCAGTTTTTCCCTCCCTTCTCTCCTTCTCTGTTTTCCACCCAACAACAACAACAACCAAACTCACACACACACTCACAGTCAACCGAAAGAAGGGGTCTGTCACTGAGGTAACCCAAAATGTGACCTCAAAAACAGGCAGCACCCAAAGCACCCAAAAGTGTTTGGCCAAAAGGAAAATCAAATGGGGGCGTGTGTCGGGGGCAAAAGTTTTTGTGCTAATGAGTTAGTTATGATTGCTGTGGTGTTTGCAGCCAGCCATTGCTCGCATTAAGCAATTTCGTGGCTCGAATTAAAGCCCAGTTCTTGAGGTAAAGGCTAATTATGTATGTTAACACTAAAAACCGCACAACGCGACACAAAGGGGGGGGAAATTTAAGGGGGTAGGTGGGGGGAAAAGGGCCAAGGAAAATGTAGGAATAAATAGCTCGATGGGGAAAGCAAAACGAAGTGCTTAAGCGGTGCAATGGGGGTATAAAATACTAGAAGCACTGCGTCGAAACCCGTGCAGTTTTAGTCTGGCAAATGTCAAAGGTCATTGTCAGTCGTTTTGGCGGCTGAATCCAGGGTTACGCAAATCGCACACACACACACCCACAATCGCACGCACACAAAGCAGCCAACAAGCCGCATTAATACTTATATACTTGTATAATATAAAAATATAATGGAGGTCAGATAAATATGAAACTCAACCTTCAAAAAATTGTACATCCTTGTTGGAGGAGCTCAAGTAATGAGCTTGTTATCGAAATACTAAGAAATGTCATTACTGTCCGTACACAAATCCAGGATTGTATTACAGCTCATCATCGTTCCATAAAGAATTAAATATTATCCATTTTTCAATTACAATGCAGTAAAAATAAATATAGCCGGTTTGCAATGTTTCAAATATTCTAGTGGCTTTATTCAATTAGCAATTATTATCCATTGTTCATGTACAACACGTTACATAAAGCAACATAGGAAGTAAAATATTTTAAAAATTCCCTGACCACTGGATTTTTACCCAATTAGCACGACCTCGACTGTTTTGCAACAGCTGTGGCAAAACCGCAAAGAATGTAGAAAGTAGATATATAGTATAGTATAGTATAGTATATTATATTCCCTAGCTTCAAACAGACTAAAAAAAAAAAAACTATGGAAGGAATAAAATTGTTCTGTTCGCAAAGTTGAGGCAATCTGAAAGTTTTGCTTTTACCATACTTTTGGGCGCCACACTTGGAGTTGATTTCATTTAGCCATGGGTGTGGGCCTTTCGGAGGTCGGGGGAGCTGGAGAGGTGGAAAGGTGGGGCCCACCGTTATTGCAGGGGAATGCGTGCAAAGTCATAAACTTAACCCGGTAACCTCAAAACAAAAACAGCGAGAATAACGAACCAATAATAAAACAAAACAGGACAAGCGAAGAAAAGCGAGACCCCAAAAAAAAAAAAAAAAAAACAACAAAAATGGGGGAAAACAATATAAAGCTGATTTAGTTGAGTGTCATTATCCAATTCCTTCTTTTGGCTCTATCCTTCAATCAAAGCTGTCGTCACCATTGTCGTATTATACAGTAGTGACTCCATAAGGTGGATAGTCCTTATAGCCAAATTCATATGTTGTTAATGCTCCATTATTGCCTAAAAGAGTTTTTTTTTTCATATTTAAATGCCTTTGCCATGTTGGTTTTATAGTTTCATAATAGGGGTTTTCTGAAACTGGGTTTTTCTAAAGATTTTGACTGTAGTGGAATCCTTTAGCGATCATTGCAATTAAGTCATTCCAGCTGTTCTCTATTTTGTATGGAGTTCTCTTTGGGGCTCTTTTCTTTTTCTTTTTCTTTATGTTTATGTTTTTTTTTTTTCGTTTTCGGCCTATTGCGTGTATATTTTCGTGTCGTGTCAGACGACAATATAAAGTTGATTGTTTTATATTCAATTTGGTTTGGGGTGAGACCTCTTTTACAACCTCCCCCTAGCAATGCCATGGAATTTTGTTTTGGCAACGCCAAAAAATACAAAATGAACATTCTGACACACACACAGAGTGTGGCGGCAAACAAAGGGGCAACAGGGGGTTAAGCTGGGCGTTACCATCGAGTGGGTGGGAGTGGTTGGATGGTTGGGTGGTTGGAGTGGTGCTCAGTTTTGTGCCACTAAAGAATGCCTACATAGGTATGTGCATATAAATATATACACAACATTTGTAGCCTAATGAAATCGACATTGCAATTTTGGTCATATAATTTGCGAGGTTTTTGGGGAAGGCAACTGACACATTTTGGCAGGAGTGATTGCGCTGCCTTCGAAGTAATGAAAGAATTTCTCTATTTGTGATTGACATAAAGGGGATTCTCGCTTGGAATGTAAAAATGGCGTTTTGCAAAGGGTTATCTTTGAAAAGTGTATTAAGGGGTTATATACCTTTTTGACCAGAGAAATACAGGGTTTTTATTTATTTTTTTTTAGCATGTTGCCATTGTTTTATTTAAATTCAATATATATTTTATCAAAGTACGTGTCCTTAACTTAATTCGTCTGAAATTTTGAGTGAAAATTTTGAGAATTGTGGAAGTTATAGTCCTTGCCGCAGAAGTCCTTTTTTCATTAGAGGCTTGCGGTGAGCAAGAAAACAAGAAAACGGCTCAACGAAAAAAAAAAAAACAAAAAAACTACGTTAGTATATAGTGTTACCTAGTTCGTGAACGAAGGATTTTACGAAAAAAAATTTTTTACAGTTACAGTGATTATTTTTTCAAAAAAACCGATTTTTCGAGGTCTAATAATTTAGTTTTTCGCCCCAAAAAAATAGAAAAATTTATCGAAAATAAAATTCCTTCGTTCACGAACTAGCTATTGTATCTACAAACAATCCCCCAAAATTTCAAATCGATCGATGTAGTGGTTACCGAGATATCGTGCTCACCGCAACGACCTTTTCTCAAAAATGCGATTCCGAGATAATCGCGGTTAAAGTTTTAGGTGGACATTAGGTAGTCATGCACACCGTGCGCTATGAACGGCTGTATCTTAGGTTCTAGTGCCCCGATCTCTAAAAAATTTTTCAGAAAAATTGTTGAAAGTATGTACATCAAAAAAAAATCATAAAATTTTTTTCGATTTTTTGATTCTGAAAAAGGTATATAACCCCTTAAAGTAATAGTAACAAACAATCCTTTTAAAGGGATTTC